AATCAAACAAGATCAGTTTAATCAAACTAAATCAGTTTAATCAAACCAAATCAGTTTAATCAAACAAGATCAGTTTAATCAACCCAACTCAACTTAATCAAACAAGATCAGTTTAATTTAACCAAATCAGTTCAATCATACCAAATCAGTCTAATCAAACCAGATCAGTTTAATCAAAACAAATCAGTTTAATCAAACCAAAACAGTTTAATCAAACCAAAACAGTTTAATCAAACAAGATCAGTTTAATCAAACTAAATCAGTTTAATAAAACCAAATCAGTTAAATCAAACAAGATCAGTTAAATCAAACCAATTCAGTTTAATCATACCAAATCAGTTTAATCAAACCAGATTAGTTAATCAAACCAAATTAGTTTAATCAAACCAAATCAGTTTAATCAAACAAGATCAGTTTAATTAAACTAAATCAGTTTATCCCAAATCAGTTTGATCAACCAAGATCAACTTAATTAAACTAAATCAGTTTAATCAAACCAAATCAGTTTAATCAAACAAGATCAGTTTAATCAAACTAAATCAGTTTGATCAATTCAGATCAGTTTAATCAAACCAAATCAGTTTAATCAAATAAGATCAGTTTAATTAAACTAAATCAGTTTAATCAAACCAAATCAGTTTAATCAAACCAAATCAGTTTAATCAAACAAGATCAGTTTAATTAAACTGAATTAGTTTAATCAAACAAGATCAGTTTAATCAAACTAAATCAGTTTGATCAAACCAGATCAGTTTATTCAAACCAAATCAGTTTAATCAAACCAAATCAGTTTAATCAAACCAAATCAGTTTAATCAAACAAGATCAGTTTAATCAAACTAAATCAGTTTAATCAAACTGAATCAGTTTAATCAAACCAGATCAGTTTAATCAAACTAAATCAGTTTAATCAAACCAAATCAGTTTAATCAACCCAAATCAACTTAATCAAACAAGATCAGTTTAATTAAACCAAATCAGTTTAATCAAACCAAATCAGTTTAATCAAACTAAATCAGTTTATCAAACCAAATCAGTTTAATCATACCAAATCAGTTTAATCAAACCAGATTAGCTTAATCAAACCAAATCATTTTAATCAAATCAAATCTGCAGTTTAAACAAGCCATATCAGTTTAGTCAAAATAAATCAATTAAATCAAATCAAATCTCTTTAAAAAAACGAATCTTTTTAATCAAATCAAATCTGTTTAGCCAAGCCAAATCAGTTGAATGTTAAACCAAGCAAAATAAGTTTAATTAAACCAAATCAGTTTAGTCATAGAGTAATAAAACGAAGAGGTGGAGCTTAGCTCAGATGTACACAACCGACCTGTCTATCAATTAATTAATAGATTGGTCGGTTGTGTACATCACGATATGTCTAGGATTTTTTGGTAATTTTGTTATGCCTAAGGTAGGGTGCAGGGCAATAAAAAACCAGAGTATATGTTAAAAAAATCTTAAATAGCTCATAACTTTTTTATGACTAAAGCTACAGATCTGAAAACTATAGTTTTGAAAAGCCCTTGAAAACAATAATAATAAGAAAGATTCAACAATATAATTTTATTCATGTTCAAATAAAACAAACTTATTAGATTTTTGACGTATGTTAGTTTTTTTCTTTCATTCTTCTGCCTACAAAAATGCAATATTCGCATTGAAATGAATTTCTGAATAATCTTCTTTATGAGTTTTATCCTGTGGATATTTTGGATAAAAATGTCTTCATCTTGATGTATGGTTTGGAAAATAGAATTAAGTTTTAAACCGACTTCTTTAAAGGATTTAAGACTCATCTCTTAGGCCACACGAGGGCAAGCAAATATATCTGATGTGGTGTTGTATGAATTGAAGATTTCATTTACCAAGTTAACTATTTGTACTTATTTATTTTTCAGCAAAATTATCATTGTTTATTTTTATTATTTTAGGGTTAGGTTAAGTTAAGAAAATTTCTGGGCATTGCGGTGCGGCTAAGACAGGCTTGGGGGCCGAGGACTGCAGCTAGGACAGGTTATATCTCCTTCCTTAAAATGGTTTGAGCAAATGCAACTTCTGGGATATACTCTTGAGTCTCCCAACCTTGAAAGGTCTAGCCATGCACAATTTTTTGGTATTTTGAAAAAACTCACATTTTTGTTTTGGCACTTTTTCCCGATGCAATATTTAGACATGCTTGTATTGAAATAAACAAAGATCTGAACTGTAATGTACTGCAGTATACAATCCTGTCTTTACAATCCATATTAAGTGTCTATCTAATTATCAATACTTATATTCAAATATCTACATTAAACCACTCCTTAGAAATACGATCGCTCTATATACAAGTGTACATCTGAGCTAAGCTTCACCTCTTCGTTTTATTACTCTATGAGTTTAGTCAACCCAAACCAAATCTAATTAACTAGATCAAAAATCGAATTAACCAAACCAAATAAAATTAACCAAACCAAACTGGTTAGTTTAAGCAGTTAAGGTATGGCTTGTCTTTTTATGATTGTATCATTTTCACCAAACCACATCAGATTAACCAATATTATCTTATAAAAGTAAGAGGAAATTGGACATAATTCTATTATTCTGCACGTGCGACTAACTGTCATTCAGAAATTCGGTTTGTACAGATAATGAAGAGATGCTTATGATAACCCTAAGAAGATCTTGAAATTCTAGATTTTTGGGGGGAGGTCCGTTGATTTTAAATTATAATACAATTTTAGTTTCTGCATTAGCNTTTTCAATTATTGTCTTCTTCTATGCTAAAAACACCTTAATTTCTTACATCAACAATAGATAAGATGAACAGGCAAAATGTTTTCTTATTTTAACCTTTTCTCGTTAAAACTTGATCGGTTCTCGATGATTTGGGAAAACTTGATATTGAAGTTTGTCCTACGAAACATAACACTTGAGAGATGAATTAAATGTTGTCTTTGTTCTTAGAAATTATATGTGGCATTCAATTTTAAACCTTTTGGGGAATAAAGAAAAAGTTAATAGGAATTTCAAGTAAATGTAAAGATGAAAAAGTACGGTTTTTAATTTAAAGGGACTGTACGCGTAATTTAAAGTGACCCTCGATGCAAAGATTGCATTGCCCGATTGACCCTTGAAACCTTGATCTGACCAATAATGTGGAATATATTATGGTTTGTTCAGGTTCAAAAGTTCTTAATTTCTATACTTCCTAATTGTTATGCATTACGAATGCGCAAGCCACTTTTGTAGAGATATCACAATTGAACATAATCTTACAAATTAAAAAATATATTTGATCAGACAACGCTACGCTTTTAAGGATACCGTTGTGAATCGGGGATCCCCATTATTGCATGGAGGGTCACTTGAAATTACGCTTACGCTTACAGACCCATGCAAACATTCTCTAATATTAATATTAGGGGATGCTATCTTTCTACTTCAGAGACGAGTGTAAAAAAGACGTTTTAAGTTCATGGCTTTCTGAATCTATGCACTTATTTTTTTACCTGATTATTGTTAAAATGATTTTATTAAATATTTGTATTTTTAACTACTAAATAAATAAATGAAAGAATGAATAGTGAAAGGGTTACTGAATGAATGAATAATGAACGGGTTACTGAATGAATAAATAATGAAAGGGTTACTGAATGAATGAAAAAAAGGGTTACTGAATGAATTTATAATGAAAGGGTTACTGAATGAATGAATAATAAAAGGGTTACTGAATGAATGAATAAATGAATGAATGATAAAAGGGTTACTGAATAAATGAATAATAAAAGGGTTACTGAATGAATGAATATTGAAAGGGTTACTGAATAAATGAATAATAAAAGGGTTACTGAATGAATGAATATTGAAAGGGTTACTGAATGAATGAATAATGAAAGGGTTACTGAATGAATGAATAATGAAAGGGTAACTGAATGAATGAATTATGAAAGGGTTACTGAATGAATGAATAATGAAAGGGTTATTGACTGAATGAATAATGAAAGGGTTACTGAATGAATGAATAATAAAAGGGTTACTGAATGAATGAATCCAAGAATGAATGATAAAATACTAAATTCATGATGAAGACTGAATAATGAAAAACGGACCAAAACGATTAATTCAACATTATAACCAACCTGCACAAAGGATGAGACGTAATAACAACTTGAAACTTGTTTTTTTGATACTTTTGATCTTTTACTGTCAGGGGTCTTTTTTCGCATTTATTGGTTTCTCAAATTATTTTGCAAAAAATATTTTCTGCTCTATGAATCTATGAATGGAAGACAGACTGAATGATTTCTGTTAAATAGTCTCTGAGGTCTCATCCTTTGTAAGTTTCAAAATAAAACTTTTAATTACTTTGTTAAGTACGATGTGGACTGTCTTTGCCATGGCATGATCATGTTATAATCATGATCATAAAATTTGCTTAATTGCCAGATTTGTCATTAAAAAACTTTCGGCGAAGAGAAAAATTTCAACTTATACTAATAAAGTTGAACAATTTTACAAATCCTAAAGAGTAAGGTGGGTAACGCCCACCACTAACAACATTTAAACGAGAGTCAAGTTAAAATAATATTGTCCAAGAAATAAAATTTCATCTTTTATTTAAACTTTATTGAAAAGATTTTTCAAGAACAGAATATTTACTTTTATTTCTCCAATCTTTTTATATGCTTTCACCAAATTGTGTATAATGTGAAATGTTAAAAATTTTCTAACCAAAAAGTTAAAAACTATTTGTTCGCTTCAAAATGAAATAATGGATTCATCTCGCATTCTGCATCCTAAATACAAAATATTTTTGCAAATTATTCTCATTTAAATATTTCAAAACTTTTCCATCAAATAATTTAATTTTTCATTTTAAATAATTTTGGAAACAAAAACAATTAATGAAATAAACCGTTTTTTGAGGTTAATGAAAATTTTATAATTTTATAATAGGAACAAAAAAACTGTGATAAAGAAAGACGACAATTGATACTCAAGTAATGATTGTGCTGTGGACATTTAACTATTTCAAACTACTTGTAAATCTATTTGCTTTATAAAAACATAAAATATTAAACATATATAAGATTAAATGTCGTCTTCCTGTACCACAGTTTTATTTGTTTTATGTCCATTTTGAGTCTCTGAGCCCCCCCCCCCCCGGTTATTTGTTTATTTTGTTTATATATCTAACCTTTCTCTTATTTAGATTAATATTTGTCCTGATAAGACGACCATTTAGTCCCTGTTCAGGTCTAAAGTTTCCTGCCAGAGGCCCACGTTGATCCTCTTTTGTTCCCTGAACACGTGCATCGGCATTATAAACCTTAACACGTGCATAGAGAAGACGACTATATAAACCTCTTTGTAAAATTTAAAACATATTTCCAATTATCTGGGTTAGTCAAGCTTAAGGATAGAAACCAATTCCAACTAAATATTTGTTTGTTTTTTTGTGATTTTTTTGTTATTTATTGACGAGAAATTTTTCCCACTTCCAAACAAAGTATTAAGGTATCTCATAAAAATTCGTCAATGCATTAGGTTTGATCAAAAAAACTTAATATATCCTTACCAAACTTCTCAATTACCATACTTTTACACTGTTTTTTATTAATACCTTTGTATTTTCACCCTTTCCTGGTGGCAGAAAGGTGTAACTTCTCAATTATTTTAAATAATGTGGGCAAACAAAGACAATTCACTAACATACAATTAGGAGGTCAAATTAATTCAATGTATATTAATTGATAACTTCCATAAACATTAATTTGCTAACATCGATTTTGGTAAAAAAGAATGCTACTGTAATTAAAAGTTATAGAATTGTTTACCTGCATTAATAGTTTGAGATGCTCTCGTTGACGTTTAGTTAAATAGATTGGTTTGTTGGGAATTATCCAAACAACGGATTCCTAAAAATAAAAATAACAAATTAATAATAATAATAATAATAATAATAATAATAATAATAATGATAATAAAAATAATAATAATAATAATAACTATACCTGACAACCTGGTTTTGTAAGACTGCCCTCATATGTAACAAATTCTGTAGTTGCGGGAAGAAGCTTTGTCAATTGTAGATCAGAAAGAGGTTCCTCGTCACCTTTAAAGGGACTTTACGAGCGTAATTTCAGGCAATAATAAATGCAAAGATGGCACTTCCAGATTTGAAACGTTACCCTTTAAACCTTTTCAGCGAGCACAGAGAGCTAAATTTGCTAATCTGTCAAATAGTGTTTGAATGGCCGTAAAACCGGAGTGTACACTAGCGTACAGTGTGAACTGAAAACATCTGACGTTAAAGGTATACCTCGAAAACACCAAATATGCTATGTCTAATGTGGGGTTTAAAGTTCGACAGTAAATATTTAAATTCTGAAACTTCAAGAAAGTAAATAAATTAATATTTCTTAAATGTAAAACAACTTGCAAACACATGTCAACAGACAACAATTATAAGAATTTCTTTATTTTAATAACGATAAGTCCGACATCATCTTTAAGCAGTGAAAGGCTTAAGAGGTATCTTTGTGTATCTGACACACCTTGCAATAAGGTAACTTAGAATTACGCATACAGCAACTTTTAGTCATAGATTGTGTGAATTGTGTAGCATACTCATAATTAGTAGAAAGCAGAATAAATATGTCGTCTTTTTTAAACTTTTACTTGAAATGAAGCTAATGATTTTGTTATTTATAACTGTTGTATTGATCATTGTTGTGATCATTGTTGTGATCATTGTTGTGATCAATGTTGTGATCAATGTTATGATCAAAGTTGTGATCAATGCTGTGAGTAATGTTGTGATCAATGAATTGTGACCAATGTTGTGATCAATGTTGTGATCAATGTTGTGATCAATGTTGTGATCAAATGTTGTGATCAATGTTGTGATCAATGTTGTGATCAATGTTGTGATCAATGTTGTGATCAAGGTTGTGATCAATGTTTTGATCAATATTGTGATCAATGTTGTGATCAATTTTGTGATCAATGTTGTGATCAATGTTGTGATCAATGTTGTGATCAATGTTGTGATCAATGTTGTGATCAATGTTGTTATCAATGTTGTGATCAATGTTGTGATTAATATTGTGATTAATGTTGTGATCAATGTTGTGATCAATGTTGTGATCAATGTTGGAATCAATGTTGTGATCAATGTTGTGATCAATGTTGTGATCAATGTTGTGATCAATGTTCAAAAGTTAAACCACTTCTCTTTCACCTGATTACTGGAGGACAAGAGAAATGGTTCAATTACTTCTACCGAGTTAAACTCATCTAATCATTAATCTGGGTCCAAAGAAAAATATTATTTAGTTTTTCTGAAGATTAGAGATGCGTCCTTTAACTTTTGAAAAACCGGTTTCGAATTTCTTGTGTTGATGGTTTCATATCAATTGAACTAATGATTGATTGAACGAACGTAAGTTTTGGATTAATGTTCAGACTCGTTCAAAATGGCTATAGTCCTCAAATTTGATAAAATATTTTTTTTTTTAAATTCATATTAACATGACTAAATTTATATTTGTTTATATGCTCTAAAAGCCGGCTTGTGAGTTGTGAACAGTTAGTTCAATCGGATATTAGTCCAATCGATATAGCATCGTATCTGTAATTGTTATCAAACGTAACTTTTATACAAAAATGAGGATTAAGAAGAAAATCAAAAGTGTGCACATTGGATAATCAGATTAAGCGATCGGGATTAAGGATATCCTATTTTAAAGTTTTCAGCTCAGATATTATAGAAGGAAAATAATAAAGTTTTAATTAAGTTTTCTTATTATTTTAACTTCCGGAAAACTTTTATAAAATCCAAAGCTAGAAATTATCACCTGCATATTTAATTTTCCCTGCTCCGTCAATTAGTTTTTCCAATTCAAGGTTTGTTATTTCCCCCTCCTTCACATTAAGTAATTTTTTTGTTTTGTCGAGATTTTTCATAATAAAAAATCCGCAATCTTTAATATAAATCTAAGTGAATGTCTGTAGCCAGTACATGTAAAAAAGGCTAAACGAAAGAGCACATTTTTTCTCAAACAGGATTATTTCTTAGAAAACGAAACAATATGGAAAACCGTATTTATTTTGATGTAGGAACACTTTTTTTGCATTAATAAGCTGAAATAATTACCAGAAAGTACGAAGCGCCCTATTGTTAACTAGTGAAACCATAACTTTATGTCGAAAAAAATTGTAGATAAAATTCAGTAAGTCATTTCCCAACTTGAAATTTTCAAGAATACGAAAAAAATATAAATATAATATACCCCAGTTCTATAAATAATATAAATATAATATACCCCAGTTCTATAAATAATATAAATATAATATACCCCAGTTCTATAAATAACATAAATATAATATACCCCAGTTCTATAAAAAATATAAATATAATATACCCCAGTTCTATAAATAAGCTTAGAATGAAAAATGTACCTTGAGTAGAACTGCAATCCCAACAACTCCTTGAGGGGAGGATAGCGCATCCTTCTCCTTACTGTACAGTTCTCCTGCAGTACGATTAGATAATGGAAATATTTACTATAAACCCCACTAAAGAATTTTTGGGGTCAACCGTTCCACACGGTCACATCACTGCCAACTAGACAGATGAGAAGGTAACATTTATGCATGACTTTGCGACATCCTTGCTCCTCTGGCTTTGATTTTAAGCTCAAGTATGAAAAGCAAATTTATCTGTTCACATAGTAATTTTTTAAAACATGGTTGGTCTTCTAATAAATTCAATTCAATTAGATGAGTTTATTGTGACACAGAAAAATCTTGTAAAACTTGTAAAATTAAGAACTGTGCAGAAATCATTTCAAAACTGTTTTCAAAATTATTATCTGAGCGATTAAGATTTCTCATTTTTTTCAATTTCTGACATCTTCTTTTATTTTTGAAAAAAATGTCCGTAATTTCGAAATGCTCGAAATTAAGAAAAAAATGATAAAAATAAATAGACATATTTGCTTTTTAAATCTGTTTGGAAATCCATTTTGAATTAAGTAACATATAAACATATTCCATCTCCAGGAAAAGGAGGTAGCAAAGCGGCCTTTAAGTTTATTTTATAATAAATCGATATTAACTGTATTTTAATTTGTATTATTACCATTATATCCAATGATCTGCAGTTCTCCATCAAACTGTTTTCCTCCTGTTCAACAAAAGAAACAAAATAAATGAAAATCTCCCTGTACAATGATCAAGCCGTATGGCATTTGTGAATTCTTACTAACGTCTTAGCGGCGCGCCTAGGGGTGATGTCGGGAATAATTTTTTCTTAAATTGCTTTTTAACAACATTGTAACTTTAAGTTTTTCGCAAAACTTTTTGTTTTGAATTATTGCAAACATCCATAAAATTTGTTTATCCCATGAGTAAGAGTTAAAGCTAATTAATTATTGATGATATTGCTTTTATCGATTAGTTATGGCTGAGTAAATATCGAGTAGTTATGCCTGAATAAAAATCTGTTCAAAAGCAGGAAAGATGTATAGATTGTCGGCTTAATGGAGGGACGACAAATTTTTAAACAGTATTTTGGGTTTTTTAATAAAAACAATAATCAAAAGTAAGGAAAATTTTAAAGGANGGGGGGGGGGGGGGAATGGAATTGCCACTTGCCATTGACCCTCTTAAATTCCGAGTACTTTTATTTTCTAAAAAGCGGTTTTGTTGTAAACAAATGATAACAAAAAAATTGTTTAATAAAATTATACTAATTGTTGTGCCTATAGTATGCTCACTGCCAGGCCCTTCATCCCCCCAATGTAAATCTATTTGCCAGACCTGAAAAAAAGCAGAAAGCTTCACTGCGTTATGGTTTATCGATAGATGCCCCCACTGAGCTGTGATAATTTTTTGCGCTAAGCAAAGTATTAAAGTTTGTGTGAAAGATCAAAACCATAAATTCTCTATTCAATATCTCAATTTTATATTTGTATTTATTTATATATATAGAATATGAATTGTGTATCATTTGTGATTCTATGCCAGACAATTTTTTTAGTATAATTCTTCAATCAAAGTAAATTTCCAGTTAGATAGATAGATAAACAAATAGACCTTTATGGATGGACAGATAAATAGATAAATAGATAAAAGATAGATAAATAGGTCTATGGATAAATAGATAGATAGATAGATAGATAGATAGATAAATAGATAGATAGATAGATAGATAGATAGATATATAGATAGATAAATAGATAGATAGATATATAGATATATAGATAGATAGATAGATAGATAGATAGATAAATAGATAGATAGATAGATAGATAGCTGGATAATATCTAGTTTTGAAATATTAGATTTTGTGAGTAGAATATATAAGGTTGGAATGCTTCAAGGCATTCAGAATATTGATATGTTTATATATTTATATTTATATTTATATATTCTAAAATATAAGTTGCACAGGTATGGCTCTTCATATAGGCAGATATTCATTAAAAAATCTAATGACTATTTTAAAGTTCTTTCCCCTTGCCTTCTCGAGTTTTTAAAATTAAAGTTGAAATTGTAAAAACTTGAATATACTTTTTTTATGCAGATCGTGGAAAAATGGCGCCATTTTTCATCTGTGCAAAGGTTATGACGCCATTTTGTTTATGGTCTGAAGCAGAAAAGTATAACATTAATTTTTCGCGATTTTGTTCTTGAGCGCCATACACGATGTCATCTCATGTTTTTTAGTTTTTCACACCTGGTAATTGTATGAAAGAGAAGCTCCGCTGACATTTACAAGATGGCGGTTTCCTGGTTCAACCTAGATATTTACAATATGACGGTTCCCTGGTTTAACCTAGATATTTACAATATGGTGGTTTCCTGGTTCAACCTAGATATTTACAATATGGCGGTCTCCTGGTTCAACCTAGATATTTACAATATAGCGGTTTCCTGGTTCAACCTAGATATTTACAAGATTGCGGTTATCTGGTTCAACCTAGATATTTACAAGATGCCGGTTTCCTGGTTCATACTAGATATTTACAAAATGCCGGTCTCCTGGTTCAACCTAGATATTTACAAGAAAGCGGTTTCCTGGTTCAACCTAGATATTTAAAAGATGGCGGTTTCCTGGTTCAACCTAGATATTTACAAGATGGCGGTTTCCTGGTTCAACCTAGATATTTACTAGTCAGCGGTTTCCTGGTTCAACCTAGATATTTAGAAGATGGTTTCCTGGTTTAACCTAGATATTTACAAGATGGTGGTTTCCTGGTTCAACCTAGATATTTGCAAGATGGCGGTTTCCTGGTTCAACCTAGATATTTACAAGTCGGCGGTTTCCTGGTTCAACCTAGATATTTACAAGAAAGCGGTTTCCTGTTTCAACCTAGATATTTACAAGATGGCGGTCTCCTGGTTCAACCTAGATATTTACAAGAAAGCGGTTTCCTGCTTCAACCTAGATATTTACAAGATAGTTTCCTGGTTCAACCTAGAAATTTACAAGATGGCGGTTTCCTGGTTAAACCTAGATATTTACAAGATAGTTTCCTGGTTCAACCTAGATATTTACAAGTCGGAGGTTTCCTGGTTCAACCTAGATATTTGCAAGTCGGGGGTTTACTGGTTCAACCTAGATATTTGCAAGGTGGTTTCCTGGTTCAACTTAGATATTTAGAAGATGGTTTCCTAGTTCAACCTAGATATTGCAAGGTGGTTTCCTGGTTCAACCTTAAAATTTACAAGATGGCAGTTTCCTAGTTCAACCTAGATATCTGCAGTGTGGTTTCCTGGTTCAACTTAGATATTTACAAGTCAGCGGTTTCCTGGTTCAACCTAGATATTTAGAAGATGGTTTCCTGATTCAAACTAGATATTTACAAGATGGCGGTTTCNTTCAACCTAGATATTTGCAAGATGGTTTCTTGGTTCAACTTAGATATTTAGAAGATGGTTTCCTGGTTCAACCTAGATATTTAGAAGATGGCTTCTTGGTTCTATTTGTTTTTTTCGAACAATAAAAATTATATCCTCATAACAATTAAATAAAGCTTGAAAAGTTCTGAATAGAATTTTTTTTTGATTAATAAATTTGTTTTTCAGTTTAGAACAATGAATTTTTTATATGACATGAAAACTGGACAAAATTAAATATGAATTGATTTAAAAAAAAAATTTAATTTAATTCTGTCGTTCAACCATGGACCATTTGACCAGATCAAATCTGTTTTGTTATAGTGATAGCCAGAAAAATTTGGAATAGGAAGACGACTTTAAAATCTAGTAATAACTTTAATACGTCTAACAAGCATTAGAAACATCAATTGTCAAGTGTTAACAGACCCATTTCACTAAATTAGTGGATTTAATACGTATCTATAGTAAAACTATTTGCTTTTAAACAATATCTAATACAATTAAGTTTTACTACAATGTCGTCTGGCTATTCCATTATTTTCTGGTTATCACAATATAGTATATACATCCAGAGTTTGCTGAAAAAATTAGTTTCGTTCAAAAGTTGGTCTCGAACTTGTTTAATTAACTTTTTGGATCAATTAATTTACAATTTTTCTAAATGCTGCCAAGAATTTTGTTTAATATAAAATAATCCTGGCCGGAGAAATCACACTCAGGAAGTTTCAACTGATCATGATTCATGATCAACACGCGTATCATGATCATCATATGATTCATGATCAACACGCGTATCATGATCATCATATGATTCATGATCAACACATGATCCATCATCAGCACATGATTCATGATCAACACATGATCCACGATCAACACATGATTCATGATCAACATATTATTCATGCTCAACCATGATTCATGATCAACACATGATCCATGATCAACACATTATCCATGAACAGCACATGATTCATGATCATTATATGATTCATGATCAGTCATGATTCATGATCAGCACATGATCCATGATCAACTGTCAACCCATGATCCACGGTCAACATGATTCATGATCAACACATTATCCTTGAACACCACATGATTCATGAACAGCACATGATTCATGAACAGCAGATGATTCATGAACAGCACATGATTCATGATCGACAAATGATTCGTGATCAATACATGATTCATGATCAACGATCAACACATGATCCATGATCAGCACATGATTCATGATCAACACATGATTCATTATCAACACATGATTCATAATCAACACATGATTCGTGATCAATACATGATTCATGATCAACACATGATTCATGATCAACATATTATTCACGATCAACACATGATTCATGATCAATACATGATTCCTGATCAACACATGATTCATGATCAACACATTATTCATGATCAATACATGATTCGTGATCAATACATGATCCATGATCTACGATCAACACATGATCCATGATCAACACATGATTCATAATTAACACGTGATTCATGATCAACACATGATCCATGATCAACACATGATCCATGATCATCACATGATCCATGATCAACACATGATCCATACTCGACACATGATTCATGATCAACACAAAAAACTGCGCAAAAAAGTAAAAGTTAGCAAAAAAATTGCGCAAAAATATGGTCTTTTCGTGGAAACTCTAGCTGTTACTTTCGATTACTTTTTGACCATTTAAACATAAACTTTTCTCTTTGTTTTTGCTCTTTTATACTTTTATCGGATGCGTTTTAATTTTTAAATTATGGACAAACAAAGGATTGAACACAAGTTAAAGAAAATCTAATTCAATTTGTCAATTCTAATTTTACAAAAAAAAAATATATATTCACCAGAAATGAAACTGTGTGTCCGGTATTCACAACTTTCCCCCGAACCTACAATAATTGTTATAGCATTTTTATCATTTTCCCCGAACCTACAATAATTTAGATTTTTATCATTTTCCCCGAACCTACAATAATTTAGTATTTTTATCATTTCCCCGAACCTACAATAATTTAGCATTTTTATCATTTTCCCCGAACCTACAATAATTTTGCATTTTTATCATTTCCCCGAACCTACAATAATTGTAGCATTTTTATCACTTCCCCGAACCTACAATAGTTGTAGTATTTTTATCATTTCCTCGAACCTACAATAATTTAGCATGTTTATCATTTTCTCCGAACCTACAATAATTTAGCATTTTTATCATTTCCCCGAACCCACAATAATTGTAGCATTTTTATCATTTCCCCCGAACCTACAATAATTGTAGCATTTTATTATTTTCCCCGAACCTACAATAATTTAGCATTTTTATCATTTNGTTCGTGGTGAATCGGACATTGTCATCTTTGCATGGAGGGTCAATTAAAATTACGCTTACAGTCCCTTTAAACATTATTTTCTTGCATTAAATTTGTAACTTTGTGTAGAAATATTGTAGTTTTTGCATTTTTTTTTGTAATTCCAGATTTGACAAAAAAATGATTTTGTTCTTACTTTGCTTGGTGTGATATATAGGTCTGGGAGCTGAGGGTCATACAGTACAAGTTTAGGCTCAATATCCACAGGGCTCTGTCGTTGACCCTAAAATATTTCATGTTGAACCATGGTAGAATTATCCGGCGTCGCCCGTGCCCATCACTCTAGGTGTTGTTTTCTGTGCCTGTCCCTTAGTTTTTTTTCATTTATTAAATGGCCCTCTGTGCCTGTTAAAGGCAAATTTGAAGGCCTATGTTACCCAGAGCCCTAAAAATATTTGTGTAGATTTTAATTTAAGAGATTAAAAAAATGGAAAATATGAAGAAACTAAATAAAACTATATTTCATAAAAACATATTGATGTCTACATAACTGCCTAACCCCATTCTTAAAACCCGGGTTCTAAAACTGGTTTTTACAACGATACCTCGTATTAAGTTCATGCGTGTACGCAACATTACAAGGGTTGGCCCCGCACTGCTTAAGCTACAAACCTTACCAAAAAATTGAACATCACAAAACAACCAAAGGGGCAAAGTAACTGATATTTACCTGGTTGCAGAGTAGCTAATTTATACCTGGTTGCAGAGTAACTAATCTATTCCTGGTTGCAGAGTAACTAATCTATACCTGGTTTCAGAGTAACTAATCTATACCTGGTTGCAGAGTAACTAATCTATACCTGGTTGCAGAGTAACTAATCTACATGGTTGCAGAGTAACTAATCTATACCTGGTTGCAGAGTAACTAATCTATACCTGGTTGCAGAGTAACTGATTTATATCTGGTTGCACAGTAACTGATTTATATCTGGTTGCAGAGTAACAAATCTACCTGGTTGCAGAGTAACAAATCTACCTGGTTGCAGAGTAACTAATCTATACCTGGTTGCATAAAGCCCACTCTGGATTAATGAGCCCCCAGAAGCTGGGACCAGAAATACCATCATAAGTCCACCATTCTAACCAGTTTACACAGTAGACGCCTACAATGTCAGCTAAGTAATATTCCAAACTCAAAAGAAAGATTAAATGTTTATGAAAACTACTCGATAAGGGATTGTTGGTGTAATTTCAGGTCATTCTCTGTTATAAGAGTGACATAATGTCCGATTTACAATGGTACAATTGAAACCTTTGTCGATGATCGAATGTGAAATCCTTTTTTTTCAATCTGAAAATTGATTGTTTTCAATGGTTGTTTCGCTGTAAAAGGCCAACGTTGTGAATCGGACATGCCAGTGTTTTAAATGGAGGGTGACTAGAAATTAATTCTGTCCAAAATATTCAACTGATTGCAAAAAATAACAAACATTTTCTAATTTTACAGCCTTTTTTTTCAAGATCTGATTACCTCTGAACAGGCTAGTACTTTGCCAGGTATTTAACGACAATTTATCAATGGGGCGAAGAAACAGATTTGTGCAAAATGGTGGTAATTGTATTTTATCTAAATAATTTCAACGTATATGTATCAAAACTTTTTAATACAATTTCAAATCTCTCTAAGTTTAGAAAAAAATCACAATTTTTTAACACTTTTTTACCAGAGAACTGTAGAGGAAGGTATAGCAGCAAAATATTAAACAGTTTTGGATTCACTCCCTTCATTTTATTTCTATATTTTACTATTATTAAGTTTGTAGTTCAGTGTTAAACTTTACACATTAATGATTTTACGTCAAAGAAGACTTAAAGAAACTATATAAATTCGCTGGGCGCTAAAAAGAATTAATATAAAAATGTTTAATAGAACATTTCAATTTATTTTTTATTTTCTATTAGGGCAAAAAGGAGATAAGGGCATGAGAGGATGAGAGAATGAGGATGAGCATGAGAGGATGAGGATGAGAGGATGAGTATGAGAGGATGACGATGAGATGATGAGGATGAGAGGATGAGGATAAGAGGATGAGGATGAGAGGATGAGGATGAGAGGATGAGGATGAGAGATTGAGGATGAGAGGATGAGGATGAGAGGATGAGGATGAGAGGATGAGTATGATAGGTTGAGAGGATGAGGATGAGAGGAGGAGGATGAGAGGATGATGATGAGAGATTGAGGATGAGAGAATGAGGATGAGAGGATAAGGATGAGAGGATGAGGATGAGAGGATAAGGATGAGAAGATGAGTATGAGAGGATGAGGATGATATGAGGTTCAAAGCAGAAATGAGGACGTACGTATCTCTGATTGTTATTGTGCCGCCAATCTCCAGAGTCCAAGAATCCTCCTCGAACAGTCCTCTATTCGCCAGAACACCGGTACAGAGGATCTCAGCGGAAGCGGGTTGGCGCAAAGGAAAAGTAGTCTTAAATTTTTGAACTATGTTCAGAAAAAATTCTTATAGTTAGACCCATAAAACTCTGGAATAGGACGACGCAAAAATTAAGCAATCTGACATGCATTTTAGGGGTTGTTATAAAGCAAATAGTTTTGCCAGTTGCTTTATCAATTAATTCAACGAAATGTGGTGTTTCAATCGTCTTAAAAGTCTTAATTTGAGTCTAAAAGTCGTCTTCCTTTTTCACAATTCCTTAGGTCCTATTGTGAAACATAAAACATCTTAACGTCCTTCAATTTTGTATGGCAAAGTGTGAAAAATCTGCAGAATTGGCCGAAAGACTAAAATGTTAAAAAAAATGACTCTGTAAACATGATGCGAAGCGCCACTGCAGTCTCAGTGATATTAATGGGTAAAGTCCTGGTGTCCAATCCTTATTGATTAGGTTTATTGAGAAGAATAGTGGTATTATCCAGTCCATTGAAGATATATGTATACTTTCACAGGCTGGAGTTGGGGAAACTGGGTAGAAAAACTAGATTTACTGTAAAGGGTTGATCCATATCCATACACAATAGTACCCGTAGACACTTTCCCGTAGACACTTTGTATGAATTGATAAAGAGCGAAATGTTTAACTTTTATTATCATTAATTTTGATTTCTTTTTTCATTTTCTCGTGGATTTCTGCGCCCGAAACAATAAAGGAAAATATCCGAAATAATTAAACACCTTTAAGCCAGAACAACGACGATGTATGCCTCAGTTTTGATCAAATTAAGGTTTAAAAGGTACAAGATGAGAATAAGGTACGCTTCTCTTTAAATAAAGAATCAATTGAAATAACAACAACTATCCCTTCATGCAAAGATAGCAATGCCCGATTCACAACGATACCCCTAAAGCCTTCGACTGATTCAATGCTGTCTGACTTATTTTCGTCAATCTAAAAAGACGTGTTTGTAAGCTGTTTCAAGTTTTAAAAATATTAATATTCACTTTCTTGAATTGGCAGAATTTAAAATCGTTTAATGCTAAATATCAGCTGTGTTGAGGTTAAACTGTTTACAGAGTCCACCGCAATCTGGAAGGATTCAAGTGGTTTTCCAGATATTTAAACAAAGAGCTATCTTTATTCGATAAACTGTCTCTGCATGGAGGGTCACTTGAAATTACGCTTACAGTCCCTTTAATATTTAAACAAAGAGCTATCTTTATTCGATAAACTGTCTCTGCATGGAGGGTCACTTGAAATTACGCTTACAGTCCCTTTAAATCCCTTGTTTGTCCCACACCCTTAAACTAGTTTCTAGATATATTTCTCAATCTTGGAACTTCAACACACAGGGATACAGGCATAGAATAGATACATACAGTCACAGATAAAAATATTTTAAAAATACTTTTTAAAGCGTGTGTAAGCATAATTTCAAATGACTCACCAACAGAAGTGGATTGCGCATTTCTACTGCAGGAAAACAATTATCAGAATTAAATAGTTCTCAAGCTAGAAAAGACGTTCTTTCACAGTCTATTTAAAATATGAAAAGACGGACTTTAAGATTGTATATTTGTGTACAGTTCCTTTAAGATTGTATTTTTGTGTACAGTTCCTTTAAGATTATAAAAGAAAAGAATATGTATCGGAGATGACGGAGGACAGAGGAAGGAATCCTTTCATTAAAGAAGTTTTGGAATTCCTTCGATAATTAGATCTAATCCTTCACTAGATAGATAGATATATAGATAGACAGATAGATAGATAGATAGATAGATAGATTAATAATGATAACTGTTTTGCACAGACTACTCTCTTATATTTGCTATTTTGGTTTTTCCAGCAACCATACCTACGTACCTTCGGGTTTTCTGCAAGCACTGATGGATATAAATAATATAGAATAATATAGAATAAATTATATAAATTTTTATTTTATTATTTTATACTATTTAATTTTTATCGTTTATAAACTTTCTCTGCAGGTTCCTTTGTTGATAAACTAGGAAAATTAGACCCAACCTGTTTAGCCGTTTAGAGACAAACAGACAAACAGACAGACAAGCAAAGGAATTATTCTTTGCCCCTAATGAAAATTTTTCAACCATTTTATCTTTGCAACTTGATGGTGTAAACGTATGATATATAAAACTTTTTTTAATAATTAATTAAAAGTTTTTAAAATTACTAAAAAGAAATCTGTTTGATTATAAAAGTTTTCAGATCTAATAACCTCTCCGACCCTTTTACCCTGTGTGCAATATATTGGAATAAAGTTTTAGCGAAAAGGTTCGCTTTGCAAACAAATACCTGTGTTTTCAACTGCCAGGGTGTCCAAAAAATAAATATTTTAAAATTCTTGCCAAAATTTTGAAAACATTCAAATCTTGTAAAATCTAAAATTCTCCTTATATTTTATAATTGTAATCTAACTTTTTAGGTCAAAATAAAGCTTGTTTATTAGCTAGCTTTACAAACTACATTCTTCAATAAGTTATAAAGTGTTTTTTAATTTGTGTCCCAAAAATGTTTTCATAAAGAAATATTATAAAACTAACCCTCTTCTAGCCTTTCCTGTGTTGACTATTTAATTTTGTGGTTTCTAGTCAGAGAAGATGAATTTAAGCAGAACTATCATTGATTCTTCTGCTTTAATCTGCACAGGGACAGTACACACTTTATGTTAAGTGTCTTCTCTGCTAACCTCAACAGTCTACACACTCCATGTTTACTCTTTACGCCTATACGATTCTGTGCACAGTAAACATTCGGTTTTACTTTACACAAATGTGCTTCTGAACCTTCGGTTTCAAGTGAACACTCTATTAATATCTGTACATTTCTGTGTCAAGTGAACACTCTATTAATATCTGTACATTCTGTGTCAAGTGAACACTCTTTTTACATCTTCACACTCTTTGTTAAGTGAACACTGGTAACGACGTTCACACTCGTCTATTTTCTCTGCACACTGAAGGTCATGTGAATTCTCTGTTAACCTCAATAGTCTACACATTCTGTGCAAAGTGAACACTCTGTTTACCTCTTCACATGCTGTGTTTACGTCTACACATGCTGTGTTTATGAAATATTTGTTAAGCCCTACACACCGTGTCAAGTGAACACTCTGTTAGCCTCTATATACTCTATGTCAAGGGAATACTCTGTCTAATTTAAACTCTTTGCTTTACTAATTCTGATTCACATGCTTGGTGTTTACTGAAAATTCTTTTGCATCTGCACACTCTGTAAATACTCTATTTACGATTCACAGTCCACACTCTATGTTCATGGATCCCGTAATCCATCTAAGCCTGTGGAACTGGATCCAAGTTTGTTAATCAAAAGAAAATAGAAACACAAACTTGGAGAACAATTAGCTCTGGAGAGATAGGACTGTTTAGCTTGAAGTTTGGTCCGGAGAAACTATGACGGATTTACTCAGACTTTACTCAAACTTCCCAGTAGACCTTCAGGGCCCAGGTTTAATGAATAGAGAGACCTGGTTTAACTACTTAGACGTGTTTTAACATCTTCTTTGAACTTGTGAACAAGCGAATTGGTTGAACTATGCCTGGGCGGTTCAGCTACTTCTCGACGTTCATTTGATCAGAGCTGGAAACTCTTGAATTGTGGATATCCAGAAAAATGCTTGATATCCTATTTTTGCTAAGCTGCAGATTAATTTTATCTTTATTCGATATCCAACTAAGTGTCTAAAATTCAACCAATTCAACGCGTCGTTTGCACAGAAACTGAACCAGCCGATCAGAACGCTCACGGAGTCATAACACAATTAGTCAAAACCCCGAAGGAAAATGAAAAAAGAGAGGAGTAAGCAGAAAACCAAAATTTAGGATTATATCCAATACAAAAGTTCCCAGCTGTTGTCCCAGGATGTTTTCTACTTTTTCTATCTATATTTATAATATGATTCAGTATCAGAAAACATGATTCTTACTTATTAAATCCCTTCCGAGAGAAATGGTAATATTAATCATAGTATATATACATATCTACACATAGCTAACAGTATACATGGCCCAACCGTTCATATGGAACGAAAGGATACCAAAATGATCCAAATTTGATAGTGAATAATCGATCATTTCAATCAATTATATATACATAAATAAATAAAGTGACTAAGTTTGCGATTGAAAAATTGCTAAATGAAAGGATGATTTCGTGGTTGAGGGGTACTGGTTTAGTTGTTGAGTGAGTGGGTGAGTTAGTCCTTGAGTGAATGAGTGAGTGGTTAAGTAGATCTGAGTGGTTGATTGATTGGTTGAGTGAGTTTGGGGTTGAGGGGTTGAGTTGTTGAGGGGTTG